TTGAGCCCCCCCCCCCCCATCTCCTTGGCATGTACCCTCCCATAAGAAAAGGTTGAAACCTTCTTCGTAAAACATTTCAAGAACTTTTCAATCCAAATTACACGAGGAGTTAAATTTTGTGTGTAAACAGAGAGACAAAAGACCAATGGCTGTGCATCAAATGTTTCTCCAATTGCTGGAAAATTGTTCGTATTAGTTGGGGCAGGTGGTGCAGGGCGAGCTATTGCTTTTGGTGCCAAAAGCAGAGGGGCAAGGGTTGTAATATTCAACCGCAAATATGGTAATACCTCCTATCTCCCTAAGGATTATGGATATGTGATCTTTTGCTCTTTATTCATTATATGTCTCCTTCCATTTATTGCAATTTTGTCTTTGAAAAGAGAGAGCAAAAGCTCTGGCTGCAGCAGTATCCTGTGAAGCTTTGCCATATGAACATCTGAACGATTTCTGCCCTGAGAAGGGAATGATTCTTGCAAATGCTTCTGCTGTGGGCATGCAGCCAAAGTCTGATCAAACTCCTATCTCCAAGGTTGTCTTTCTTGCATAGTCTTTGACAAAAGCAACCTGTTCTCTGTTTGCATGAGAAAATGCAAACATTCTGAACTTTTCCGCAATTTTGCTATTGTTTCAGGAGGCCTTGAGATCATACGAACTAGTATTTGATGCAGTTTACACACCTAGAAATACACGGTTATTGCAGGAGGCTACAGAGGTTGGAGCTACAGTGGTGAGTGGGGTTGAGATGTTTGTCAGGCAGGCACTTGGGCAGTTTAAATTGTTCACCAATGGATTAGGTAGCTTTTCTCTCCTCCCTATAATTTTTTACATAAAAATTCTAAGAACCTTCTGTCTGTTGTTTATTTTTTTGTACTGCTTTGGACTGTTAATTTTTCCCCTTGAGCTGAGTAAGGTTTGCGTACCCTCTACCCTCCCCAGACCCCACTTTGTGCATGCACTGGGTATGTTGTTGTTGTCGTAGAACCTTCTGTCTCCTTTGCCCCATTTATCCTGGGCTGGGGGCAGCAGTGAACATAACTAAAGTTCTATTATGCAGTAAGCAGTGGGGCAAAATTTAGCTATGCTTAACTTTGGTGATTCTTAATCTCTTCCATAAGGGCTTCTTACTCCCAATTAGTATGCTTTAATTCCCTGCGGAAGACTTCATGTAATCTGATAGCTTTTTATCACCAAAGAATAGGAGAATAGGACGGAAAAAAACATAACTCCTGGAAATGAGGAACTATAAAGCAGGAGCAAAACCTACTCATGTCTTAAAGTATCGTGCTCTTAGAAAGCAATAGTGTTAACTCTTTCTACTTGTGTTTTTCTGCAGCACCAGTAGATTTTATGCGGAGGATTGTGTATGAGCAATTTTGATTCTTTTAGAAGAAAGATATAGTTTCTGAAATCAGGCAGTGCTAGCTAAAACCAGGATCATATTTGCCAACTCAATAGAAGAGGTTTCTGAAATTCATATTGATGCTTCCAAATGCCAAATTGATTTACATGGGACGAAGGATATATCAAATACCGTAAAAGTAGTTTACTTTTTCTTCCTATGATTGTAATAATAGGAAGGTAATTATGTCAGGAAACATGTCTTTATCCCAGAAAGGTGGTTTATAAGCAGTAACAAAAATTTGCCTAGCCTGGAACAGTTGAGCATTCTTTCGAGATATATACTTGTTATCTGGCACCAGTGTTAGCTGTCCATTTTTAGATCATAAAAATAAGACATACAAATTTGATTAGAGCAAAATTGGACAATTGGCCTCTTATTGGAACATGATTCATATATACAGTTCCCTTTCCCCTTGATAGTTAATATATACTATCATGAATCAATCCCTTTTTGTGCACTCTGATGCATTTGAAAGAACGAGAATGAAATTCATTCTTAAATTTCTGTGGAACGTTCTTGTACTTGATGGGAAAAGTTTAAACTGAAATTACCAGCAGATTTTGGCCACTAATATATATATATATACTATTGGCATCTTCAGTACGTACGTACGTACTAGGCAAGAAAAGAGCAGCATTGGCGGTTCACAATATGCTCACTCGCATTTTAGCAAGGTTCCACTCCAGGGAAGTAGTCTTTCATGTCATCCAAGGAAAAGGGTGTTGGAATAGCAAATGGAGAAATTATTCTTATTCCATTCTCTGTCATGGACTTGATCATTCCTATGAACGCATGATTTGGTAGTTTAATAAGTAGGTTGTGCATGCTAGTCCTCCCAGTAACGCCATCACCCGAGCAGTGTGTTTGATCCCTGCCATTACGCCTCGGACATTGATCGATGGTCAGTGTCCACTATACTCAGACATGCCGTTTCTTGGCCGAGCTGCCTTCCCTAGCTTGTAGTTTCCTGGATTTTTATATTACACAAACATAATTTTACCTATAAAGAATGTTGGATTGGACTCCGATCCTCTCTACTATAATATTATTTAAGTAAATGAATACACAGTACCTTTCTAAGAAAACTTGTTACAGCTGGAGGTTTGAAGAAGCAATGATGTGGAGGATTACTAATTGATGGGAAATGAAAACAAAAACTAGTATGGACTGTGCCATAAAACTTGATCATATAGAGTATACGTAGTAGAAGAAAATCATAAATACATAAACCATGCATTGCAGCTAGTCAAAATTATTTTATAGTTGAATATAATGAAGCAGTTGTTGATAAAAGAAAAAAAAGGTTTACGCGAGGAGGGATCTTATCCTCAGCATCTTCTTTATTGAGAGAGAACTGACAAGTATAATAGTAGTAAGACTGAATTAATTTAGTAACAACAACATCGATCTACACTCAATAGAGAGAATTCATGCATGCCTTTATTATTATAATTACTTTCATGGGTGTTGTTGCAGTTAAAGGAATATATATAATGTCGAAATGTAGTTCAACCTTCTGTATAAATTGTCGAACAACTACAACTACAAGTTGTTTCTTAATTCTGAAAGCCATGTGCCAACTCATGTTCTCATTATACACGTTTTTTTCATTTTAATAAAAGTTCAACAATTCGTTGACGCATCTTGATGATTATAATTTCCAATATATATATATTTCGATATGAACCTAAGATAGAAAGAAAGCTAGCTAACTGATAATGATCGAGTTCGACCACTCAATCAGAATCTAACTTTGATATCACTTCTTCATAATTATTTTGTCTTCTCAGAATAAGGGAAAATACCCTTTCAACCAACTACATATATATTTGATCCTACCTACAAGTAATATTCTTCTTCATTCGACCAACCAAGCAAATTCAAGATTTTAACCTTAAAGGATTAAATTCAAATTCCGTCATCTAGATATAATGTAGTGGGAATTTTAAATTTATACTAATTATTTAGTGGATTTGTTAACACATGCGCTAATTAAGTTCCCTACCCAATAATATATATATATATATATATATACCATGACAATAAAATTAGGGCACATTGTAATACACCCTCAAAACAAATTAGGTAAACAGTGTAAATCCAGGTTCAGCTGGACTGACACGTGGATACAACAATGGCATAGTTATTCTTTATCTATGAATTCTTAAATCAAATTTAGAAAGAGTGAGAGCAATGAGGGCGTTTGGTCTAGTGGTATGATTCTCGCTTTGGGTGCGAGAGGTCCCGAGTTCGATTCTCGGAACGCCCCTCTTTTTTATTCTGGTTCCTGATGATTTTTAGGTGGACGTAATTATGAAATTGATAAAGGTGAATGTTGTGTGGGAGAGAGAAGTGGTGTTGGAGTACAGAGAATGCCATTTTCTCTTCGTAAACCTGTGGAAAAGTGAGAAAAAACTAGTATAGGATATCTTTTTTAGACATCTATTAATTTGTATATGTATTAACCTTGACACAACTTCATATTGAATTTATTGATAAAACCAAACTTTCGAAATGAATAGATTTATTATAAACATGGTGAATTATTATACAAATTTAGATAAAATCTGGTTACTAACTATCTACTTTTGTAGTGTATAACAAAAGATAATTAGGGAAGCAAGTTGTTCCAAGTCGTCCACGACTCCTCAACTGTCACAGAAGCCAACTTTCTTGCCAAACCAAGGTCATTTATGTAATCTCCAACTACGAATGAAATTCCTTTTTTGCCATCTAAAAACTTTCTAATTTCCTAAAAACAGGACTTGACGATTGAACAACACACACTTCAGTTTCAGTCTCAGAGAGAGATTGGTGGCATTAATGGCGGAGGAGGAGAGGACGCGTGAGTACAGCGAGGAGAGCGTGAAGCTGTTCGTAGGTCAAGTGCCGAAACTAATGACGGAACAACAGCTTCTGGATATGTTCAAAGAGTTCGCAGTTATTGATCAAGTCAACATCATCAAAGACAAGACTACTCGAGCTTCTCGAGGTTCACTCTTCAGTTTTCGCCTTTGATTACAATGTGCGATTCAAGGAATTTCTAAACAAACCCTTTGCATGTTTCCAGGGTGCTCTTTTCTGATTTGCCCGTCCAGAGAAGAAGCGGACAAGGCTATAACTGCTTGTCACAATAAACAGACGCTTCCTGGGGTCAGTCAGTCTTTTTCTATATTGTTGTCAATCAATCCAGGGACATGCATTAGATATACTTTATTTCATTAACTAAACAAGATATGTGGAATCTGCCATTTGTTCAAGTTTCTGAATTTAGTCTTTCTTGTTCAATAGAGTCATAGTAAAGTTCTATGTCGATTTCAGCTAGTTAATTAACTATCCTCAAGAGAAATGTTTTGGCATTGTCTCATGTTTCAACACCAGGAATATAGAATAGCACTATCTGTTTTCAGCATAGTAAGAAGCCAAAATAATGTACCGTGATTGGATGTTTTTCTAACCAACACTACTGTCTTGATGTAATAATGGAGAATGTCTGTAACCTCCTGAACTAGGGAGATAAAGGCTGTTCCACCTGGTGAGTTGTCTTTACCAAGACTTCAATTCTGGATTCAAGCTGCACGTCCCGTCCTCTAATGTTTATGAATTGTAGTAAACAGAAAAGAACATCATTGTTCCCTTGAAGTCTTAACTGACTAGACAACTTAGTACGTGTTTCTATAGACTACTAGTGGAATGTGCATAATAAGAGTGTGCAATGAAGAGAAAGCTTAGCTAGGAGAGCCTAAGGGTGACTGGGAGAGAAGTAGCAGCAAAAGTAATAGTATCTAGTTCCCCTAGGCTGTTACAGGATATGTACATTAATAGCAGAGCCTTGTCTGGGGTACGCTGCACACTTACTGACAGTATATTGCAGCTACAAGACTGTTAAGGAAAATGAAGCAGCTGTTTAGGAGAAAATAGAAGCTTGTGAGAAAGTTGGAAAAGAAGGAAGGATGCACTATACTGTGGATAATAGCTTCCCATTCTTTTTGGTGTTGGTGGGAGGAGGAGAGAAGGGGATGCTCGGGGAAAAAGAAAATTAATCTGAGTCACGCAACATTGTGAACTAGGACTGATCAATATCAGGTTTCATGCTTTTCAGTTTTCAACACTCCGTGCTAGTTTCTTGTGTCATCAAGCAAAAAGATTATTTTTTAAACAACCTCTCTACCCAACAATTGGTTGGGGCAAGGTCTATGAACATCTTACCCTCCCAAGACCCCATGTGTGGGATTACACTGGGTATGTTATTGTTGAAGGTCCATTTCACTTACCTATTTTTCAAAAAAAGTATGATTAACATCTTCTCTAGAGTAATTTGGTTTCTTAAAAATCTCATGGTTGGCTGAGGCAATTGGCAGTTGATCTTTGTCAGAGCATCTAATGACCCTTAACACATACTAGTGGTGAAAGCAGCTAATCTAAAGGTGTTGCTATTATGGTTTCGCCCAAAATTTAATCATAGTTGATGAATTTATACAGATGGTTCCAGACTGGTCTATTGAGCTGTATTTATGCTTTAGTTTTACACATTTACTTCCAGGTCGCACATCCAGAGTTTCACATAGTGTATTGAAGTGGTAGGGTATTTGATTATTGGTACATTGGTATATTAATGCATCTAAGTATCATTTCGCTCTCTAAGGACCCGTTTGGCCATAGATTTCCCAAGTAAAATTTGGGGAAAAAATTGGCAAATAGTGTTTGTCCATATAATTTGCTATTATTTGGCACATATTTTTGACAAATAACCCAAATTCCCAAATAATAGAAAAAACTAGTATTTGGGTCAAATCTCATTATTTGGGAGCTTTTAAAAGTTCAAATTCTACACCAAACTTTTATATTTTTACAAACATAGTAGTTGTTTGGGCTGTATTACATAATTTTTTACGTGAACACCAGAGCAGTGATGAAATATTCAGTGAATTTGAAAGTGATGATATGGTTGTTGATTATTATGACTAACAATCGGCTCAGGGTAATAAAGTCATGTGTTTCATCTACTTCACGATGTATGGCATGATGCTTGTTGCACTCACCCCGAACTACCACATTGCTCCAGTGTCATGGACACTAGTTATTTGCTACAACGAAGATCCAATTGACTTGTTGTGGAAGTCATGAATCTTGTTACATTGACGTTTCTATCTTGCTATGTAATACAAACTTAGGGTTAGTTTTGATAATTTTTAAAAAAGTGAAATATGTTTTCCAAATATCAATGACCAAACACATGGTGAAATTTCACCCAAATAATATTTGCCAAAAAATATTTGGGAATCTATGGCAACTCTTATCACAAAAAAAAAAAGAAAAAAAAAGGAGAAGAGGGTGGATGTAAGAGCATATCTATTCTGAATATTAAGCTTATTAAGTTTATTTGTGATTTGCTGCTCTTTTATATTGGCATGATATGCATGTCTTATGATAATAAAGGTGTCCTCTTCTCTGTGTCCAATTCAGGCTTCTAGTCCGTTGCAAGTGAAGTATGCTGATGGCGAGTTGGAAAGGCTAGGTGTACTATAATTTAAATTCTTGTCTTATGATACTACCTATGTCCACTTTTAATTGTCATAGTTTCCTTTTTTAGAGTCAAACTATAAAAACTTTGACTAATATTTTACTATGTATTTTTTAATCATATTGATATGCAAAAAATTGCAATTTATAGTACTTTTCATATAGTTTTTGAATATCTAAATTTTTTGTTTAAAATATCAAATTAATGTAATCAAATGAAAATTAGTCAAATTGACTTTCGAAAAGCGCAACATGACAAATAAAAGTGGACGGAGGGAGTATTTGTTTTTACATGGTTATTTGATTCACATGATTCTAGTTTCCCATTGTTTACTTCTCCTTGCTTTACCCTCTTAGCTTTTTGACCTTGTAATCTGTTGTTACAATACTTACCCAAAAAGAAAAAGTTGTCCTTGCTGTATATCATAGTTTTGTTTATGTGATGCTGTGCATAGTTGGTAACTTTTTCTATCCTTCTCTTTCTTTTTGTCATTTCTCTTAATCTGAAATTCAGAGCACAAGCTTTTTGTGGGTATGTTGCCAAAGAATGTCTCTGACCCCAAAGTCTCCTCATTATTCTCTGAATATGGGACCATTACAGATTTGCAAATTCTCAGAGGTTCTCAGCAAACTAGTAGAGGTACAGCAAACATTGTCTAATAATCTTTCACTTAAACTTTTCGTGCGAACAAAATCAATTCATCACAAAAATTTGTCTTTCTTTCTGTTAGGATATGCTTTTCTGAAGTATGAGAAAAAAGAGCAAGCAGTTGCAGCAGTAGAGGCCCTTAATGGAAAGCATATCATGGAGGTTTGTTTCTATCTGCATGTTAGCCTGTTAGGTCACTCCTGTGAAACCTTTGAAATTTGTGGGTATTTGAGATTTGCATTGTGTGTAACTTTCGTTAAGTGATTGATCCGGTTATTATCCATTCTCTTGAGCTGCAGTAATGGTCAAATATTCAGATTTTTTTGGTAAGTTCAAATATTTTAAATATTGAGTTACCTTCGGTCCGTTGCATTAGTTATGTAATCATTACTCCTTGTAGGAGTAACTATATTCTCCTCATTCCTGGAAGTGCCAGTTTTGGCTTTAAATTGGGGTCAATTAGTGGAGGTGGCTTCTTATAAGTTGCCTCTTTGTAGCAGGGCCAACAGAATAGCCTAAATGCTAACACTTTGTGTTCAGAGGATTCCAAAGACAATAGCTGCTGATTTCTTTTCTAGGATATGTCAACATGGCACTGCATTCAGGCATTTTAGACATTTTTATCATCTTCCTTAAAGACCAGACTGAATAGATGGATGTTAGTTTACTGGAAATTTTTATTCTTCAGGTTGAAATAGTAATTTCTAAGAAGCAAAATCAAAATTTGTGCTATGACATATGTATTTGATCCCTTCAAAGGTCATGTGTTCTAGAGGAACTTATTAGTCCTAAGCCTATTGATCAGGAGGTGGATGTTCACTTATACCTACCTAACAAGTTCAGAAATTAAAATTCAAAATGGGGAAATTAGGAGAAAATTTTAAAACATAGAATTATTTTATTGTAGTGTCCAAGTCTAACCCTGTGTGAAGTTTTTATCGTTAGGATACCTGAGTAAGTGCTGGTTATTGCTTTCCTATTTTCTTTCTATGTACCAAGTCATTTTCCAGAAATTTGATTCTGGCTTTATTACTTTGCTTAAAATTTGTAAGAGTAGTGATGATCTGAATCACTAGGCATCTCATTTCCTAGTAATCCAAAATTTGAAATTTTAGTTTATATGGGATAAGGGACCTACAACTGCACACGTTTATTTGCAAAAGAAAATTCACAATGAAGGTTTAAGCACATTGATTAAATCCTTTTATCAATTTTACATTCTCATGTCAAGTTTTACTCATCCAAGACTTACATTTGCTGGTTGTTTAGATAGAATTTTCTTATTATACTGTCCGTTCAGGGTGCAACTGTCCCTTTGGTAGTCAAGTGGGCTGATACGGAAAGGGAAAGGCAAGCTAGGAGGGCTCAGAAAGCTTTATCTCAGGCATCTAATGCTTCCAACTCTGGACAGCATCCATCTATATATGGATCTCTATCCATGGGTTATATGACGCCATATAATGGCTATGCTTATCAGGTGGGTTGAATTGTATTCAGCAGTAAATTTGGGTGTCAAGTAAAATTCTTGGTTTCCTTGCTCTGGCAGTGATATTGAGTTTGCATGTTCCTTTTGTGGTTCATTTCTTTTTCATTACATTTCTATCATTCTTGCTCCAGTGATCAATTTAAGGGGCAGTTCAAGTTAACATGCTATTTTGCAGACTCCTGGGACATATGGGCTCATGCAGTACCGTCAACCGTCAGTGCAGAATATGGTTCCATCTATAAACCAAGGAGGTACTCCACGTGGAGTTGCACCTGGTCTAACACCTGGAACTACCCAAAGAAATTATGCCATGTCACCTGGAAGCTATCTGGCATCTGCTTACAGGGCTGCACAAGGGCTTCAATATCCCACACACTATCCTGGAGGCATTACTGGCTATCTACCTCCTTATACCGCAAACAGGCATTCTGCAGAATCTTCAAGTGCCGGTTCAAATACAGGGAGTCAAGTTGAAGGTTGTCAAAATTTTATTTTGAGACTTAGTAATACTTGTTAACTTGAAGTAGATCGGTGCATCTATCTGAATGAGGCTATGTTTTATTTCTTGGTTTATTGTTTTCCTGAGCTTCTGTTCCATATTGTTAATGATTACCAGATATCTGAGATGGTAATTTTACACCTATCCGTTTTTAAAAGGTAACAGCTAATAGAAGAAACAGAAGAAGAAATCAGATTTGCAATATAACTGAGTTCTTCTCAAGGCCTTTGTGAGAGATGTAGAAAGTACTTATTCAGACTCACTGGTGTCTGGTGATATATAGTTTGGCTTAGTTTTTGATGAACCCACTGGAATTGCAAGTAAATTATTGTCAATTATGTCATTAGTTTCAGCAATTATCAAAGAGTGTAGAGAGCTTCAGCTATTATTTTTTTCGTCTTTGCATTATTTAATTAGCTATTTTCCCAGCATTGACAGTCTTCCAACTTGTTGACATAGACAAGTTGTGCATGTTAACTTGAATTGCTTGTAATTAACTTTTGCTTACTTATGAAAGAGAAATCATGTCGTTACAGGTCCAGGTGGTGCTAATTTATTTATTTACCACATTCCTCAAGAATTTGGTGATCAGGAGCTTGCAAACACATTTCGAGAATTTGGGACGGTCTTGAGTGCCAAAGTTTTTGTGGACAAAGCTAGTGGTGTTAGTAAATGTTTTGGTATGAACCTTAGACTTTCTGATGTATCAACCATAAAGAGTATTTCAGTCTTGATGTTATGATTGAACTTGTTTCTGCAGGATTTGTAAGTTACGACTCTCCAGACGCTGCACAATCTGCAATCAAAATGATGAATGGTTTCCAACTAGACGGGAAAAAATTGAAGGTTCAGCTTAAAAGAGAAAATAAACAGAACAAACCTTATTTTGATATATATAAAAGGTGATGAGTGGAAGGAAACTGATTCTTTGCATCAGTGGGTCCCATTTTAAGCCACTATGGAGTTGCTACATTAACAGCCAGTGGGAGGTGATTGTAAACATTTAGCAGTGACATAGCAACTGAATGTTAATTGTAGTTCCCTTGTACCACTATAATCTGTAACATTTGTAAATTCATTGATTCTTCTAATTGATATGATTGTCATTAAGTATATAGTTTGTTTTCCCTTGTGCACCTCTATCTATGCTCACCACTTACTTTAGCTCAAGCTACAAATTGATGTAATGAAGTCGGACAAAGTTGGAGTGCATTTTCTACCCAGGTGATGTGAGATCAACTTTGATGTTGGCCTGACAATTGACATGGACTTGGTCACCTTTATGTGATAGCATAGGGGACTAATGGGGGCTAAATAGAGTAAATTTCCATATTGTTATTACACCACCAAGTCCCGTGAGATTGACTTGTAGTTGTAGAAGCCACCACCACAATGTCATTATTATCCATGATATCATTTTTATATCTTAACACGATGAACCTGTCGCTTCTTACTTCTTAGTCAATTTCAGCTCCTTGTTTTCTTCTATTGCAACACTTGATGATCTTCAACTTATAATAGTTGTCCAACTTTAACATTCATAATGATGATGTAGTTGAAAAACGTTGTGTTGAAGAACCAAAAAGACGTGGCTTCCTACTGTTTTTCTTATTACATGCAGCAAGAATGGGTAGACAGAATCAAACACGTAAAGCAGCAATACTTCAAACCACATCCAAATATTTTCTATTTTTATAGCAACTTAAACAGTGAGAGAAGACAAAAATTACTAGTTACTATTTCCATTTTCTTGGATTCCCTATCACTATTACTCCCTCCGTCCCTTTTTAGTTGTCCACTTTAGAAATGGCACACAGATTAAGGCAACAATGATTAGCACAGTAAAGTTACAATTTTATCCTTATGACAACTTTTCACTTCAAATTTACAACCACTTATTTGAATTCAAGTGAAATAAATTGGAGGAAAACAACATACACTTTTACAATTTTCAAGAAGTGTAAATAAGGGTATAATTGGAAAAAATTTGTTGTCCTTTCTTGATTTGTCAAAATGGACAACTAAAAAAGGAAATATGGACAAGTAAATAGGGACGGAGGGAGTACTTGATTAGAATAAAATACATCTTTGTCACTTCAACAAAGTCCAAAGAACTTGCTAAAAATGTTCACTACTATTCTCTGTCAAATCATTAATTAGGGATAACGGTCCATTTTCACTACTATTTATTCTCTGTTAACTAAATCATTAGTCAAGGATTAGTATCTGAAATCAAGGACTATGCTTTTCTGATAAAGCAAATCCACCTTTCTTTTTCAATCTTCATAAACAAACCTTTTTTCGTACACCATTGATGTTGGTCAATGTTAGAGATCCTTATAGCTAGCTAGCAAAACAAAGAAATCAATCAAGCACGAGTTCAGCCAATGCTGAACACAGTGATTCACAAGCAAACCATTTTCTGTCCTACAAACACTTTTTACATAAACAACCGTCAGACCATTAACAACAGAGAAATCCACGACTCCTAAAATTGCAAGATTCAATAGCAGTCATTAACCTACTGCACAGGAACAGCAGATTCTACCATGTTTACCTCTACCATATCGACATCCTCCATGCTTCCACTTGATCTCTTCAACTCCACTTTATCTTCCAGAGTAACACAAGTGTATCTTGAGTCTTCACCATCGCTAGTGCTCAAGCCAGAAGTCTCCATTTTACTGTCAGAAAATGAAACAGAAGAATCTCCATTTTCGGTAGATGCAGTTGTGGAAATAACATCTTCTCTGCACAAAATTCCTTCCAACTGTTTCCTGAAGTCATTTTTTGCATGCTCATTCTCGTCCAACTGTCGCAAGAAGCTTTCTTCTATCTCACTCAATGACTCGACTTCATCTCTCTCTTCACTGCTGTAGCTATAGCGATGTTGCTCATCAGCATCGTCATCATCTGATGCTGGTCCTGCTGATTCACAGCTAGTGTCCATCTCTTGTTGGGAGTCGAATTCCTCATCAGTTTGTCTACCAGAAGAACGAGATGACATGGGTGAATAATCTCCATCTTCTGCTTCTCCACGCTCTCGTAATGTTTTCATGATCAGGGTCTTCAGCAAGTTCATCACTTGAACAGCGTGCATGAGAGCTGTTAATGGATCAGACATCTGATTCCAGAAAAAAAAAATGAAATGCTTCAACTCCTTACCAATATAAGAAATGTTAATACTTTATACAACCAACTGCTATAGTATATATTCATTTACCTGGGTCATGTTTGGAGCAAAAACCATTGCAATATTTCTGGCATTCATTTTGTTGGATTCCTCTTGTTCAACAACATCAGCCATAAGATCAATTGCCCAGTTGAGCAATGCAGTCTCGGTTGGTTTAAGCTGTTTCACAAGCTCAACGAATTCTTCCTCGGTGTTGCATTGCAAAACCTGTTCTGGTGAAAGCCCATCAAGCACACCTGATGGCAGTTCTCGGAACCAGGCTTTGATGAGACCAGCCAAACAATGAACATCGATGTCTTCAGGCACGATGCCTCTATTTAGCTGGTCCCTTACATGCTCCTCCTGGCTATTCTCTGGGTTAATTCGGAAGATTCCTTCAGCCTAAAAGGTTCATCCAGATATAATTAGTCAGAAAATTGTTGGCAATAACATAACATGGTGGACAAAAATTCCATCCATCAGAAATGAGATAAAATTTGTTTTACCTTAAGACCATTTTGTGAGTATAGCCGTTCTTGCATTAACAAGAGAATAGTTGGGACACTGTTGCCCCTTGTATCATAAGAACACTGCATTGATTCTGCAGATACACCAAACACACTGACGCTGCAAAATAAATGGTTACAAATTCAGCGGATATATTGAATAGATAGGTTTGGAGCTTTAAAAGCAAATTACTGCAGCTATTGTTTGCTGAAGAATGACCTCTGCGGAAGATAGACACAGAAATCAACTTATGCTTTGAATTTGTAATTGACAACTATTGGTTTCTGAAAAATAACTTCAATAGAACACAAAATGCTACAGAAAGATGATTTGGGAGTGAACTGGGACTGCCTAATACAGTATAATCACCAGCATGAGAAAACCCGTAAACAAACAGGAACCGGGACTGCTCTTCATTCTTGCTTTGTGTTTACCATGCATACCACTTGAATATCTTAATTCAATTCACTAGATTCTGGTTCCTGAACGGAGGCCCTTTCTTAAATTATCGAGCTGGTGAGCTTAGCAACTTGACCATTTCTTTATTCAGTATGATAATAAATTTAAGTAATCAAGTCATCATCGGATTCGTGTATTTCCATTGTAATGCCAGAGACCAAATACCTAAACATGAGTGCAGGTATTGAGTCACAAAAATACCACTATTTATCCAAAGGTACTACTTGAGTTGTAAAATTGTGCATGAAAATTTTCCCTGTTGACATCCTAAACTATACAGTTTCTCTAAAAAAAAAAACACTTGTAATTCACAGCAATAAAGAATTAGCTGCTCAAATGCAAACAAATCATTTATTAGTCCCTCAAGGTGCCAACCAACTCACTTTAATGCAGTGTAATTAAGGATCATTAACTAGAAAATGACGAATTAGTAGACCTTCATTTTTTATTGGTCAAGTATAACTCACTCCACAATAGGAAGGGGACCTCAAAAAGGATCAAATGACCTAGTTCCAGTCCTCCTGGAAATGGAAAAGATTTTGAAAGTAGATACTACATGCATTTATGGAAGTATTGACTCCTCAATTAGCTTTGGCATTCACAGTAAAATTAAAGACTTCTCAGCCTAAAAAGCTATTACACAAATCAGAGTGTACATTGCAAATTCACACAACTTAATCTCTCTCCTTTAAGGAGCACATAGAAAAAAAAGAGATAAAACTTTTTTAAACATGAAAAAGTTGACAAGTCAATTTTTAGTCCTTAAAGTCTGAGCTTTATGTCAGTCATAAGCATTAGTAATCAGAAACAAGAAAAGAAAGTTTTGAGATTTAGAAGAAACCTGGCACTTGGTACTCTACATGGGATTTCAACTTGAAACTCAAGAGGAAGACCCAGAAAGCCATGAAATCGATCGAAAGTGACATGAGTGAGATGCTGGACATTGGTGGGGAACCCTATTTCCACAGCAGAAACAACATCTTCTTGTCGATCTACACGACAAGACACCATTGATTTCCTTAGAGCTGCTAATATGAAATCCACCAAAGACAACTGCTGCTGATTTTGCATTTCAGCAGCTGCCGCCTTTGAACTGTTCTTCCCATTTCCACAGCCACCTCCCCTTGTCACCATTACCAACCCCGTCATTTCTCTTTCTCTTTCTCTCTCTATGAACTGGGTTTGGAGTGAAATTGGAAGAGATAGATAGAGTTGCTCTTTTTTTTTTTAGTAATTACAAGAGCATTCAAGAGACCAAGTTTTAATGCGGTTCAAACGGCCACTCGTTTCAAATTTCTCTTGTCCGATGACAAGAAAGCCCTTTTCATTACTTAACAATTTCAATAGTGCCACTCTTTTTCTACACTTTCTGCTTTTCAGCAAGTTTGTTCACTAATCAATGCAACTCTATATATATATAATTAACTTAACTTATTTTTAACCTATGATTTTGAAGTAAATTATTCTCCTACACTCAATTCCTACTACTATTACGTACCCAAACATTTTCAACTAACTAAATTAATCAAGGTGTATATTTATGATTAATGACATCTACTTGTCCGTCAATAAATCTTTGTACGGTAAATGTGTACTTATTATGCTTTAAAAGAAAAAATATTTATCAATGAGATAAAAATCAAAAGACCAATGAGATGAAACGTATAAGTTAAAAGATAGATTGTGTGCATTTCACTTATATTATTAGTACAAATTAAATAATTTTGTCAACTAGATATATAAAATATATGGTTTGATTCATAATTTCATGCGATCTTTACTTATTTAATATGACATCTAATTAATTTCTTTTCTTTACAAGTGTCATGTATGAAGCCTAAATCAATCACTTTGTTAAGGATATAGATAGTTAACAAGTAAATAATCGTGCACTAGCTTGGACATTATTTATGGGGGAGTAGAAATGTTATTTTTGCTAATATTTTGAGCTAGAATTGTAGAGTTTGATTTATAGAA